CTGCCCTGCGCGGCGGGCACTGCCGGCACCGCTGCCGCCGCGCCGAGGCGGGCGCTGCTCCCGGGCCCTTTCCCGTGGCGCCGGACTGGCTCTCACGGGCCCTCATGGGCGGCTGCAGGGGGTCCGGCTTGAAAGGCACCCGCGTGTCCTCGCCGGGGTCGCCGTGTGCGTGGCCGGCTCCGGGGAGCTTCTTTATGTTCTTGGGCAGCGCAGGTGGCGAAGGCTTGCGCTGTGCCTTGCTGTAGCTTGTGTAGGGTCAGACGAGCCTGAGAAGAGTTTTTGATGAAACTTGTGATCAGATATTTTATCCTAAGCAGTGCTTCATTAGGAAGCTGCATGATTCGGTGCATTTTCTAGCCTTTTGAAAACTGTCTAGGATTGCTTTTGTTGGCAGCTGATGGATTCACTATTCTTACAGTTAAGGTCAGAAACACTGGGGTGATACAGAGCAAGGGGCGGCTGTTCTCTCCATTGCCTTATCTGTCCTGCTTGGGTAACAGAATCTACTTGGAGAATCCAGCCTTTGCCGAGATGGGGTGTTTTGCAGAATATCCAATATTTCCTTTAAGGCTGTTTGAATTGTGGGAGTTCCAGTCATTCATTTAATATCAGTAGTTCTCTAGGTAGAAAAATGTTTTGCAAATTTGTGGAGCTTTGTTTCTCTTCAAAAGTGATTTCTCTAACTTTTTTTTTAAGTTAGAGAAAAGACATTTTTAAATGTCTTTTTTAATTACCTAAACAATTACCCATGGGGAAAAATGGTTTTTTTGTTAAAGTGTGTGTGTGTGTGTGTGTATATATATATATTTCATATCAATTAGTCAAACTTTCAAAATCATAGCTCTATCTTTAATGTTACTATTCCAATACATATGATAATTGCTTTAGTGATTTAGTGATCGACTAGAAATAGTTGTCATATGACTACGTCAAATGGTTGATTTGAAATCCAGTCTCCTTATTTAGATAATTGGATACTATGATATTATATAGGAGGTTAGGAGTAAATGCATTAAGAAAAAAAAAGTTCATATTTTATTTAGTAGTACCCTGAGTCTGTGATCAAGACTCTTGGGGAAATGCTCCTTCAGTAAACTTTCATTTTTGAAACTGATTATGTTGGAAAACTGAATCTTTTTGCACTCTAGATGTTTTATTATGTTTTGAAAGCTCTGCTCACCTTTCGGGAAGGCAAAGAGAAAAAAAATGATCTGGGAATATTTGCTTTTAAAAACTTTAGACCCTAAATTTCCCTGGCTTTAAGACTGAGTCCTCTTCATAGGAAGATGCAGTAGCATGCACTGCTATTCTCTTATTAATTCCTGCACTATGCAACTTTGTATTCAGATGTGTACCTAGTTGTGAGGAGATAAAGGAGATCGTTGTATCCTGCCAGAGCTTTTCAGCTGCACGTGTGCAGTATCTTACTATGCAAGCTGCGTGGAGGCACTTGAAATACTGTATGGTGCTCAGTGGCAGCAGGTTAATTTTTAATTTGCTTCCTGCAATTATAATAAGTCATGTAAATCGACTGTTAATGTTTCATCCATATCCTTTGTTTTATAACTGTAGGACTGCATAGACAAATATTATAAAAAGATAATTGTGCGGAGAAAAGACTGAAAATCAAATTCTGAAATTACAAACATTAGTGTATCTTGCGGTATTAGGCGTGGATACGCTTATCAGGTTAATAGCTAATCTTTTCAGAATATGAATGTGTTATCCTAAATTTGAGGTATCTTCAGTCCTTAGGGAATCAGTGAGATCATGAGATGAGGATGTAGATATTTTAAAATCAACAGTAAATGAAAAGAAATTGGGATATGACATTTAAAGTCGTCTTTATTAAGAAACAAAGCAGCAACGTAATTTCAAGCAGGGACAAAATAATTTATTGAAAAATAAATTGAAAATATTTCAGCCTATTCTTTAAATTATTTTAGGTCTTCAAATAGCATTATGACCTCTTTGCCTGTACTTGTAACTGTACCATTAACTTTGGACTTTCAGAAGTCCTAGTAGAGATGTGTTACGAGTTGCCTGATCACAATTTAATCTGATTTTGCAGTAGCAAGGTGGAGGTTTAGGGTTGGTGCAGCTGTGTCAGGTCTTTGCTCACTTGTTTTCTGTTGATAAACTTGGTGGGTTTGAAAATAAAATAGACAAG